TTGTTCATCCACCGCAGCGGCATGCTCCCAGCATTGAGGCAACTCAGGGGCAAAGATGGCGGCAGCCAACGTTGATGCCAAGCCAGGCTGGTAGTCTTCGAGGTATGCCGTCCTTCGGCCATAGCCAGGAGCACTGCCTTCAAGGCGACAGTGAGCATGTTGGCCATCACATCGGAGGTTCATGGCTGCGGCCATAGCGGCCTTTGTGGTCCTAAGACCTGTTCCCTTTTTCACAAGCCGCCAGTTGTCATCAAAGTCCAGGCAGCAGCAGCCATACATGCATTGGTCAAAGGCCACATGGAAACCAGGTAGGTCCCGAAGAGCCACAGTTTTCCAGCTGAGTGCCTTTGAGGGTTGCTCCAGGTGAGCATGTCGTGCACCATCAACCTGTTCCTTGTATGCCATCGCAACGAACCGCAGGTGGGTGTCATGGTGTTCTTGTCGTAGGTCTTGAAGCTCCACCTGTTGGTCTTCAGTTCGTGCTGTGATGTTTTGCATCTGGCTCCATAGTTTGCACTCTGGAGAGAGGAACAGCTCGTCAGGCATCTCAGCTCGAAGTCGTTGTAGAAAGTGATCTCGATGTGCTCGAATGTTGAAATCCCAGCCAGTGGCGTAGGAAAATTCCTCCACCTTCATGCCCATGGATTGTGCCACCTTTGAAAGGCGAGCTCCACCACAGTAGACTTCCCACAAAACTCTTGGTTTGGGTTCATGAAGTCCATGAAGCTCAGAGGTGACATAGGCCTGTTGCTCCTTCTCGATGTGGTTGAGCTTGGTCTCGAAGGTGGTCAGGTGGTGGCGGCGCAGCTTCAATTCACCACCATCAGCGTAGGTCTCCACAGGGGCCATGTGCTCGTCCAAGAAGACCTTCTCCGCCATGTTGAAGTCGGTGAACTGCACAGGGTCGCCAGTGACTCCACCATCGTTGGGCACCACCAGCTCAAAGTGAGGAGATTCCTCCACATCGTGCTTGTCGAAGTCCAGCAGGGGCATGAGGTATTCACCATGCAAACCAACAATGAGGTCTTGCCAGGGCTCGTCATCAAGTCGAACTCGATGTCGCTTGCAGTCCAAAATGAGTCCAATGGCCTCCATAATTGGCCTGCCCATGAGCATAGGTGTCTCGCCAGGGAGGATGTAGGCCTGTATGAAGCCACAGCGCCCAGAGACAGCCACAGGCAGCATCACAGTCCATCGGCATTGGCTGCAAGCATCACCTCCAAAGAAGAACTTGCGGTCGCACTTGAGGAACTTGAGGTGCTCCTTGGGGAAGCCACGTTGCTCCAGCATGTTGACGTAGCGGCTGAAAGGTCCATAGCCCATGAGGAAGGCACTGGCACCAGGGTCCAGCATCACACAGTCCCAGCGCTCTTGACCAAATTGGTCTTGGAACGTCACCATGCCAGCTTCTCCATCACCATCAAGCGCAGTGCTTTCCGTAGGTGCGGCACGCTTCTTTGTAGGGCTCGAAGTTGTCGATCTTGGTTGAGGGCAGTTGTGCGTGGTGTGTCCTTGTTGGCCACATCGCAAGCATGTTGTCGCCAAAGTGGCGTATGCTCGCCCACGTGGGTCAGCTTCCTTGGGATTCCTTGGAGGGTATCGGACAACATTCTTGCCTTTGCCCTTGCTTTTGCCCTTTGAGCCCTTGGGGCCTTTGCCCTTTCCACGGCTAGGAGACGAAGTCGAGGAGGTAGGTGACAGCCCAGGTGTGAAGTTCGCTTGTGCATCAGCCAAAGCGACAACTGGAAGGAAACCCCTTGCCAGCTTAAGGTCACTGAACCTCTTTCGGGCGTCCAGGTAGGCCGCGTAGGCCTCATCATAGGCTTGAGCTTCAGCAGAAGGTTCAGGGGGAGGTTCATCACCATAGCAGCCAGCTTCATGATCAAACTCATCGCCAGCTTCCCAGTCCTCCTGTTCGTCAAGGTCGTTGTGGTAGTACACGGTGTCGTCATAGTCAGCCTCAGGCCAGTAGGTCTCGTCATACTCATAGGATTCCACAGGGTCGTAGGCAGAACCATCATCAGCTGCATCTTCACCATAGTATGCCTTGCCACGACGGTGGAAGCGATCACCTTGGCCAGCATGTCCAGCAACATGTCGGTGATCTTGTCCCAGTATGAGGTACATGGCCTCTTGGACTTTGTTGCGTTCCAGAGTTGGGGCTTGGGTGATGATCAGCTGTCTTTGCTCTCTGGTGAGCCCAGCTCGTCTCATCAAGTGCCAACCTTGAACTGCACCAGGTAGGCTGATCTTGTGGTCCTCCAACTTCCGGTAGCATTCATCAAAGTCCGTCACGTACTGCAGCAAGGTTTGGCCAGGCCTTCGGTGCAGAACCGTGAAGAACTTGTCAAAGTCCTGGGGCAACTGCACGCGACTGTCGTACTCAAACGCCTTGTCAAGCACCTTCAGGATGCGGTCTATCGCATCGGGCTTCTCGGCATCGGCCAGGTCGTAGCTCTCCATCAACTTCCATGCAGTGCCTCCAAGCGCTCCCAACGTGTTGAGAACCCCTTCAGCTTCCCTTTGTAGGATTTTCATCTTCCCCATGTAGAGCTTGATTCTCCGTCGGTACTCTCGGTACTCGGAGAGTGTCCCATTGAAGGTTGGGATGTTGGAGTCGCGCAGGGTGTCAGGGCCAGTTGAGCTTGCGGCTGTCGAAGACATAGTTGCTGCAAGCAAAGCTCCAGGTAGATGATGTCCAGGGCAAGGAAGTCCAGGTCGTAGGAGTCCACGTAGAAGCAAAGCCCAATCTCCAGCAGGTAGAGGTCAGCGCAAGCACCAGTCCGTCAGGAGGTAGTAGACCAAGTAGAGCGCGGCCAGAGCACCAGCACGAAGAAGTCCACAAAGAAGACCACGTAGCGCAAAGCCCAATCACCGGCAGGTAGAGGTCCACAAAGGTGCAAGGCCCGATCTCCCGCAGGTAGATGTCCACAAAGGTGCCAAGCCCGAGCGTCAGGAGGTAGAAGACCACGCTCGAGCTCGAAGAGGAGGTTCCCCAGAAAGTTCCAGCTCCGCACACCAATGTCAAAGACGGCAGCACACGAAGTCTGCCTCCAAGGATCAGCAGCGCAAGCCTTTTCGAAAGGCCAGCAGTGGCGTAGTGCCAGTTCAGGCTGTTACAAGCCCACCCTTGAGGATGGAAAGTGGCAGCGGTTCAGCTGCAGCTAAAGAGGTTTCAACCCCATGCACATGGTATGTACATGTTGTATGGAGTACAACTCACACATAGGCTTTCGTGCATCTGCTATCTCTGAAAAACGCATTTCGTGCGAGACTTCCTTCAAAACTCCATCGGCAACTCCTCCACCAGCACCACTTGCAATCCCATTTACAGTGAGGGAACGATCCTAGAGTTGCAAATCACAATGGAATTCCATCGGCAACTCATCCACCAGCACTAACTCTTTCCCTCACTAACTCTTTCTTTGACTAACTCTTTCCCTCACTAACTCTTTCTTTGACTACCTCATATATCCTGACTAACTCTTTCTTTGACTAACTCTTTCCCTCACTAACTCTTTCTTTGACTAACTCTTTCCCTCACTAACTATTTCTTTGCTAACTCTTTCTTTGACTAACTCTTTCCCGCACTAACTCTTTCTTTGACTAACTCTTTCCCTCACTAACTATTTCTTTGACTAACTCTTTCCCTCACTAACTCTTTCTTTGACTAACTCTTTCCCGCACTAACTATTTCTTTGACTAACTCTTTCCCTCACTAACTCTTTTTTTGACTAACTCTTTCCCTGACTAACTGTTTCTTTGCTAACTCTTTCTTTGACTAACTCTTTCCCGCACTAACTCTTTCTTTGACTAACTCTTCTTTGACTAACTCTTTCTTTGACGAACTCTTTCCGTGACGAACTCTTTCTTTGCGAACTCTTTCTTTGACTAACTCTTTCCCTGACATTCTAAAAGTCCGTAACACGGAAGTTTCTCCCCCTAAACTTCCTTTGATCATGTTTTATCACCCATAAACCCTAGTGAACCAAGTTATAAACCAACTTAGCTAACGAAAGGGGGGCTCGCCTTGTATTCCATCCATGGAGGATACGGGATGGATCTGGGGACACGATTGTAATCCAAACTCTTCCAAACTTGGAACATGGCAAGCCATAGTGGGTTTAGGCCCGTTTAGGGCATGCAAGACATTGGAATGAGCAATGTTCGGGGAAATCATACAGCACCTGTTGGGTCTCAGCACACAAAAAAATAGTAATTAGATGCAATTAGTGAGCTTCAGGGTCAGCTAGTTGGCCACATTTCATGCACTTCAGCTGCTTTCAACGCCAAGAAACAATCTTCTGGCAATCTCCAAAAACTCAGCGCATAATATATATATATATATATATCATAAATACGGGGTGATGCTTATTTTTTTCGCTGGATTATCAGGAGATCTTAAAAAGCAAGAAGCAAAGGATTTCACCGTGATTTAATCATGTTTGATGCCTTCTCCGAGAAATACCAGCGAAACAAAATGGTTTCAGGGGGTATGAAACAACCCATCAGTTTATACAGTAGCCATCAGCCCAAAGGACAACTACAGTAGATCTACAGTAGGTCATCTATTGACTCCCACGCCTCGAAATTCATCAAATTCCAACCGTGGTATAAAACTGATGATTGCTTCGATGGTTAAAAAGAGAAGAAAAACACCAACCATCATGGTGGTGATAAAGGGAGAACTAGTACTGTATTGACCATTACTAACAACATCCACATCCACATCATCATCATCATCATCACCACCACCACCACCATCATCATCATCATCATCGTCATTGTCATCGTCATCGTCACCGTCATCGTCATCGTCATCGTCATCACGACATCATCATCATCATCGAATCATCATCGAATCATCATCGAATCATCATCAATTGTATATATATATGTATGTAGAAATGTGTTATTTCCCAATATTTTCCCATATAAATGGGCCATAAATGCCATCATCAAATTACCCCATGCTATCACAGGGCCCAGATCCAACTTTCCTGTCGCGGATCGCTGGCCTTCGCCTGCCGGGGCTCCAAGTCCGGAAATGGTGGGACTCCGTGACGTCGACCCCCGAAGAAATTGCTGATTTACTCTTGTTTTCACACCCAATATGACCCAAACTATATAAAAGTCCTTTAGAAAATGGTTCCAACTTCTGCGCTTGTGGCAGTCCTTCTTCAAGTGGGACTAGGAATTGGATAATAGGGGCAACTTCAGCATATATATATATATACATACATATATCCTGCGGTAATCAAACGTGACAATGGAAAATCTCCTCTATATAAGTGGTGTTTTCTTCTTCTGTAATGGGAGCGCCATCCAAAAATCATGACAGATTTTCTCCTTGCCGCGTTCAATTATTGGAGAGCATATATATCAAAAGACTGCAGCTCTTCAAACATCTCTTGCCTAGTTGCGAGTTGAGCTCAATTGGATTCCCGCGCTCTTGGGAACATCACGCTGATTCGTCTACTTCATCAATGGAACGAGAAATCTCAGACCTTCTGGGGTGGACGTATGCTTCCTTGAATATTTCAGCTCAATTTCCCAGAGCCTTGTCGAATTTCTGATAATATGAAATATGTTCATAAGGGCTAAATTTTGAAGTAAATGGAAAAATGAACAACCATACTCAAATGGGTTCTCACGATTGACTTGGTTTAGGCCAACACCAGCAAACGGCTATATGACTGGTAACCAAACCTGGAGGGGGAATGCCGTGCAAAATACACATCGAGATTCTTACGAGTAGCTTCAACCGATGGCAACAAAAATCACAAAATGTCACCAACCCAAGTCCGTGCATCAGTCGATTGGGACCAACCAAACTGCAGCACTTTAGATTTGTGTGGGTTCCGGGGTTTCATCTGCGTTCCAGCAAAATGACATAGACATGGAAAATCCGCCATTTGTATCCATTTGTGTAGATCAAAGGCAAACCCATGGATTTCCATAGCTATGTTTCTTTACTGGAGGGTAGCTTCCATCTATTCCTGTAATGTCCTATGATTCCTGCACGCAAAAATCATATCAAAAACATAAAGAGTTCAAACCTCTTCGGACCCAGCCCTTCTTGCAAGATCTCCGGTCCAATGACCTCCCGGTCCCTGGCTTTCTCCTACCAGCGCCCAACTTTCCAGAAGATATGGCATAAATATGGTGCCCATGTTTGTCCCAAGCGGCCAGGTGCGCAAAAGGATGCTTACTACCACGGAAAAAATACTCTCTCTCTCTATATATGTATATATGTAAATATTTGTATATATATATATGTATATATATATACATTTGTGTGTCTGTGTGAGAGTGTGTTTTAAAGTTGACACAACCAAAAACCGTTTCCGCCGATGGCCATTGCCTATTTCATGTAGAATTCAGATCCAATCCTTCAAGATATACCAAGATATAACCGGGTCCGTACAACACTCTGCTCCTCTGCTTTGCCAAAAGCTTTCTCCTCAGCTCTCGCAACGCGGAACTGTTGGTTTTCCCCTTTGGCAGGTCAAAAGAGGTTCAAATGATTCAAAATTGCTAGATAAGAATGGTTACGATCAAGAATCCTGGAAAAAAAGAAAGTGTGTTTTTTCTCTGGAATCTTGATTTTCTGTCCACCAAAATTGCCAGACATTAACCCATCACCCTGCCATAGCTCCATGGTGTCCTCCTCTTTTGGTTTGGACTTCTCCTGCGATGGATCATGCGAGATCCAGCGGGGATGTCCACATTACCATGGTTGTATCCATAGATTATAGATACCGTCAGTGGGAATTTTCACCCCGCATCACCCCACTTTCGTATCCAATCAGCATCAATCAGCCAGATAATCAGAACATACTTCTGGAGAACTAATGTTCACATCTAAGGCAAATTCTCATGCTTTTCTCCATGTTAACCAGTATCTTAGGTGATGTCTTTTTGAGATCGACATGAACAATCCAAATACGTGGCGCCCCAACGCATCACAGGTCAGCAATTTGGGTACGCCACATCCAGCCAGTTTTGGCCATAAAGTTTGGTGACAGTCGAGGCTAGGGCAACGTCACATTGTTGTGGTGAAAACATGTTCAATGATCACAGTAGTGGATTGGGTTTATTGGGACAATCTTACGCCCCAAATCCGGCAGGCTTTTTTTTACCATCTTTGATGTGTATGGGTCAATTGGGTGACCCCTGAAATTGGATGGTTCATGGCAGAATGTCCAAACTACTCTAAGCTCTGTGGTTCCTGTTGGTCATCTTGGTCTTAAAATGTCTGATCCATCACTAAATATTTATTTCATTGGATTGCTTGAAGCGAAAACCTGAACCAGAATTCCCGTACTATTTGATGGTAAAAACCACGGGCCAAACCGGTTGAGACTTTACCTTAAGCCAATCCGATGATGATGCCATCCCATCTGATCATACTCTATAGTTGGTGTGTGTTATTTCATGGTCCCCCAAAACCCAGGCGATGATTGTGGAATAACTCCCAATAACCAACGATGATGTTATCATAATTCCCAATAACTAACGGTGATTGATTTTTCCTTCAGATTTTCCTATTATGGTATCACCGATTTCCGCCGGCGGCCGTTGCGGCTGCCTCTTCATCTGCTCGAGCAGGCCGAGCTGCCTGCGATGAGCCATACTGAGGTTTCAATGGATTGGGTGAGAAATCTGAACCCGAAACCACGATGTTGATCCCCAAATGATTTGCGTTCTCTTACAAGTTCCTGACTTTCTCTTCTCATCATCCAACTCCGGGATTAAAACAAGGTGCCGGGCATCTGAGGGGGCCCCCGCTGTTGTCACTTTTCAAACATTTTACAGGGGGGACCACAAACCGCTGAAAAACGAAACTTTAGCATCAGGAGCAATTTCATCATCATCATCATCATCATCACCATCATCATCATTTACATATCCATAACCATCCACCTAACACCCGCCCTACGATCTGGAAGTGCATGGGAAGGTACAGCGGCGTAGCATGAAGTATGTGTGCAAGAATGTGCAAGTGCATGAAAACGTACAGCAGCGTAGCATGACGTATGCGTGCAAGTGCATGAGAACGTACAGCAGCGTAGCATGACGTATGTGTGCAAGTGCATGAGAATGTACAGCAGCGTAGCATGACGTATGCGTGCAAGTGCACGTGCAGCGAACGTATGTGTGCAAGTGCATGAGAACGTACAGCAGCGTAGCATGACGTATGTGTGCAAGTGCATGAGAACGTACAGCAGCGTAGCATGACGTATGTGTGCAAGTGCATGAGAACGTACAGCAGCGTAGCATGACGTATGTGTGCAAGTGCATGAGAACGTACAGCACATGACGCTATTATCCCACCCCACCCCACCCCACCCCCCCCACCCCACCCCCCTCCTCTATGATGTTGTTTTTAGTGTAATGTCAAAAACTGACAACAGCGGGGGCCCCCTCAGATGCCCGGCACCTAAAACAAGGCTCAAAAACTCGAAATTGCTTTCATTGCCATGTTTTCTGCTGGATGTCAGGCAACAAACATGACCCATGACTAAGTGTTCCTAACCATTCCTTGTTCTTCAGGATTCTCACCATTGGTCAGGGCTGCTCCACGCGCTATGGCAATGGCCGAAGGGTGGCGAAGCATCCAAACACTGGGGGTTTTCCACTCTATTGCCAGCCTAGATTTCAAAAATTTGCTAAAGGGCACCTGGATGTATATCCCAGCTGGTATGCAATGCACTTATTAGTTCTGTTTATATCCCATTGATGTGCAATGGTGTAAATCACGTTTGCTGCCATGATTGATGTATATCGAAATATCGCTGAACGCCAGCTCGATATTATGAGCTATTGACGACGTAATGGGGGTCCACAATGTCACTTGAGATGATCAATTTCGAAATCCTTTTTCTGTTGATACTTAGGGCATGGTTACTCCCAAACACAAGGCTTCATTATATTTCAAGTAATATTGTAACATTAGACTTACACTTTTCTATATGTTTATCCATTTTCATATGTTTTTTTTTTTAATGTCAGTACTACCCATTCATTATTTATTCTACTGTTGTTGTTGTATTATTTCTTATAATATATATTCTATTATAGGTCATTTCATTATACAAATAATATTTCAATAAACTATTCTATATATTCTATATATTTCAAATCCACCATTTATTGATTGGACACCATTTGCACATTGGGATTGCTCAAAGAGAAGCCTGCCTCCCGGCGTGCTGCCTGTGCCACCTCAGAGCTGGGCTTTTCTTTCTCGGTTACAAGTATGAATCGTGCTTACACGTGCTTTTACAGTTATACAGTTGTACAGTATATAATGTTAAATGATATTAAATAAATGTCCATCTAAACCAAAGAATGTGCTTATACAGTTAAAATCAGTTTCACAGAAAAAAAATAACATGTATATCTAAACCCACAAGTCAACACTATTCAACATACGAGTACATGTCTCTCACAGTGGATCAAAACAAAGTGTGTTCGCTTGGGCTTCCGCCTCCAAGAAACAAATGCAGTTTATTTTTTGGGGAGGAACACAAACAGTAAGGAATTTGGTGGTACAAACTCGGATATTACCTACAAAGTTTCAACCAGAGTAACATCTAATGAACATGCTCAGTTTTCAACGTATTTCAAGACGGTGCTTCGGACACACCATCTTCTTAGGGCTAAAACATGTTCGCCGCATAAATTTCCTCCATGGCCAGTGGGGAGGTTATACCTTGAAATGATGAGTTAGTCAGTTGATGTCAATTGGGATCATGATGCTAGGTAGGGTGATGGGAAAAAACACGTCACCACCAGCCGGTAAGATTATACAGTCTTTTCATCCCCAATCAAGTCCAGCACAAAGTTGCACTACGTCACCATGTTCGTACCAAATGTTTGAAACAATCAATCGGGTTTCAATCATCAGTTTCAGTTTCAGCAGGTCAAGGTGAGAGCTCTGACTCCTTAGCAGAGTCATCCCCTGTGGAAAACCCACATCATCCACATCTGGAGCCCCCGGCCCTTGACGGCCCAGCAGCCTGCGCCTGATCCCATGGGTTTCTACTGGATTTTAGCCCCCAAATGTGGAGATGCTCGGGCAGGCAACTTTTCAACCAAGTTGGGGATGAACCCAAGCAGCAAGTCTCTTTGGCTGGGGACTTGGAACGGCGAGTGACGCATCCGTCAATCCTGTATTACAATGGCTCTGCCGTACCTATGGTCATTCCCCCGCAACAGATTTGATGTAAACTGCAAGGGATAGAATTCGATTCCAAACTCTGAGCATACCCTCTTCCAAAGGTCAAGGTCTGCAGGCTGCTTGGCAAAGTCACACCTGAAGAGCGCCAGACAAGGTCAAACCTTGCAAACTCTGATTGAACCAGAAGCCAAATGACAGAGTCCGAAGGCTGTTTGGCAACGTCAGGCCTGCCAAACTCTGATTGAACCGCAGCCCAAATGTCAAAGTCTGCAGGCTGCTTGGCAAGCTCACACCTGCCAATCTCTGATTAAATCTGTCACCAAAGGTCAGAGTCTGAAGGCTACTTGGCAATGCCAGGCCGGCCAAACTCTGATTGAACTCCTGCCCAAAGGTCAAAAGTCTGCAGGCTGCTTCGCAAGGTCACACCTGCCAAACTCTAATTAAACTTCTCCCCAAGGCCCCCAAGGTCAAAGTCTGCAAGCTGCTTGGCAACTTCACGCTTGCCAAACTCTGATTGAACTCCTGCCCAAAGGTCAAAGTCTGCAGACTGCTTGGCAAGGTCACAGCTGCCAAACTCTCATTGAAGCTGTCTCCAAAGGTCAGCTTCTGCAGGCTTCTTGGCAATGCCACGCCTGCCAAACTCTGATTGAACATTTGTGCAAAGGTCAGTCTGCAAGCTGCTTGGCAGCGGCGCGACTGCCAAACTCTGATCGAACCTCAGCCCAAAGGTCCGGGTCTGCATCCATGGCCGCAAGCTGTGAACGCAATGCTTTTTTTTTTTTAAGTGGTGAAACGCCAACAATAATGGTGTTGGCAACTGGGTGTTAATCTAGTACAAGCGGTGTATGTACACATACAATATACAATACATAATATATATATATATATATATGTATATGCAATAAATACTACATATACCACCATAATATATATATTTATTTATTTATTTATACATAGCTACATGTACATGTTTGTTGACATATGTAAATATGTATGTCATAGGTGTATACATACATTATATATATTTCATATTATCCCCTCTTACGGTGATGATATGTTACACTATAAGCCAACTACTGTATCTATACTATCCAAACGGGCTTTGAAACCGGAGCTCGGCCATCTGGGGGAGGTGATGGCTAAATCACTCAAAGGATCCAATTGATCCCAGATATTTTCAACTTGGTATGAAGTATGAACAGAATTGCTTCTATTATCCTTTATTGACAAAATGTTATTGTCACGACAAAATGTCAATTGCGTATATGAACATGATTTGCGAAGTACTTGGTATGTATATTGATACTGAATATAGATGAATATAGCGTACACATGCGTACCCTCAATCAATCGCCTCATCAACAGTTTTCCACAAAAAAAAACGGCCATCTGAAAATGGAGCCTGCCCATTGGATCGCTGGACGGGTGCTTTGCTTTCACCTTGGCGGGCGTTCTAAGATGATGGAAATGGTCAGGCCAAACCTGGGAACTCATATGACTCATATGCCACATTAAATGGGTTAAATGGGAGTCATCACATTTAAGCCAGTGCGTGCATGGTAAAGACTTGCCTAGGATGGCAGTGTTGATTTCAGTCAGGGTCCTGCTGCCCCCATTCCCGGCCGGTTGATGGCGGAAAAAAATCCCCGCACGCTTTGCTGCAAAAGTGGGATCTGGAACGAAACAAGGTCCCGCCAACGTCTGACTGCCTTTGTGATGAATTGAATTGGAATTGGAACTTAGCACAGGAATGAGATAAAATTAGCATATTATATTGGAAATACCTTAGGTTTTGATTTTGATTGATTTGGGTTGATTTGAAGGTGATCTGAGCTCGGCTTTTGCTCATCCACCGCTCCGACCCCGATTTGACGGCGAGGCCGAGGCCGAGGTCCAAACAGAGCCTCTCAATGGTTTGCTGCAAGGTATCCATCTGTTGCCTGGGCAAAGGAAAGGTGCACGTATGGTGCATGTACATGTCTCAGAGTGTGGGAACGACACCCACTTGAGGGTAAAACCCTGGGTTCCTGTGATTCCGCAATGACTAAACCATTCCATTGAACATTAGAGAACCGCTTGAAGCCACTGGCAGTGGGACGATGTCAGCGTAGTCAAAGTCAAAACAGTTCCAACTCAAAATGGGGATTCGACCGATGCGACTCCATCAACGGGAATGCTATAATTCATCGTAATTTCAACAACATGATATAGTTTCTGTTACAGAAGAGCGAGGTATTGTCAGCATCCCCGGCCGTCCCGGGTGGTTTGACCGCCGAACGAAAAGATCGGGATGGAAATTCTGCGCGACAGCGGAAAAAACATGTCCTTTTGACTAAGTAGCACTTGCCAAACTCAAGGCAATGCCATCCCTACAATATTACAATCTTAAGTATCCCAAAGCAGGGACCCAAAACGGAAGAATTTACCAAATAATTTACCCTTAAAAAAGGTTTCCAGTAGGAAGTGAATGATGTCAACCACTGATTAGATCCTGTCAAATTCTGGCCCTAGTAAAAATCTCCGAAAGCAAAGGTATTGAGTCTTGCAACTTAAATCAGGGAAACGCTAACTTTCCTGCTTTTCAAACGGGAAAGTCAAATCTCTTGTAGGAAAGTCATCTATGCTTGTTAATCACGCTAAATGGATTGCCCTTCGAGATAGGTTAGAGTTTACAAAGAGGTTCCTAAAAATATCAACCTTGCTTCACAAGCCCCAGCTTGATTCATGATTGATCTCTGTGTAATGGCCGAGGGGCTGCTGCTGAGCGTACATCTTCTGTCCCTCCTGCGGCCAGTGGCATCCAGCAGCCAGTGGAACTGTGCCGGGGTGGAGGACAAGTCTTGAAGGCAACCTGCCTGCAGCACAGTGAGCGCTTCTTGCAGTCGGTTGTGCCTCGGCTTCCCGATAGAGAGGTGGAAATCTGGCGTGGAAAATGATCCAATACGACCAACTGAATCCAACTGATATAATGTGTATTATCTACGTATAAATAATGTGATGTTGCGCATGGTGATATATAATATAATATTTTATAAATAAATATATGTATATACATTTATATATATAGTATTGTAAATATATATATATATGCATATATCATGTTGTATCATTTGTCAGTTCCCCAAGGCGCTGACAGTTTCACTAACTGCTCCTGAGGGCCAGTGTCGTGCGCTGGAGCCTCTACTGGATATGGATAGCTGACGGAACACATGACATGTGACTGACTTCAAGCTGGGTATAGTGGTTCATCCCAATGATGAGAAGTGGTTTTAGGAAAAGTTGCGCAGGAACCTCCGCATGTTTGAATAGCCTTAAAATCGAGGTTTCGTGTTCCCTGAAAAAACAACCGAGCCGAATGAACATAACTATAGCCTATAGTAACTGTTCCAAATTAAATCCAACTCCTTCCCCAACAAATAGCCACTTTGGATGATCATCCCCTGATTAACTTCATTTAAATCCAGCTTCCCACCACCTTGGAATTACTATATACATACATACATATATATATATACACATGTGTGTGCGCGTGTGTTCCACGATTGGCAAGCAGGAATCCGCCCAGCAGAAAAACAGCAACCACTGCAGTGATCAGTGGCGGTATATGGCGATATGATGGCGATATGCTATCTTTTTTGTCTGCCGCAGTGTTTCCTGGTCGGTGTTTTCAAGCTAGCTGAAATTTGTATGATCCAAGTGGGGGTCATCATCCAAAAATAGGGATTAAAGTGACAACTGTACTTCCAGATACATTTGAAACACCAACCAGTTTCCCACGCTTCATGTCGTTGGTCAGACATGCTGAGCTCAATCCCTTCACATCTTTGGGATGGATAGGCATCCCGATCTAAGCTTGCAGGTCTGTGCAAATCGCACAGGTTGGTCAGGGACTCAGCATGTTTGATGCAATGTGCATGGGGTATTATTTATCAGTCATTGGCTGGTTTTACATGTTTTCAGCACCAAACCATCTATATGACTATAATCTTAAGCTGCATGAGCTACTCAATTTTGACCCATGTCCATCACAAATTGTCAGTGTCCTGGTGATGCCAGTGTCGCCTTTTCCTGCTAAACAAACTCACTCTCACGAACAACAATATGTGAGGTCGCTTCAGGGCGCTCCATATGATCAAAATAGCTACATGGTTGACAGAACAAACCCCAATTTTGCAAATTTAAAATGTCCATTTTGTTTCTGGTAAGATCCACAATCATGGATGGTGATGATTTCGAACATCTGATCAAACCCATTTAAACCCAGCTCAAATCCCAATAGTTCATGGATCAGTTCTCCATATTTACGTTTGAGGTTGCCCCTTCCGCATTGCCATCAGATCGACTGATAGCTCGGCTTGTTGGCATCTTCAAAGTATCGCTGCAGGATCCTCCCCGAACAATGCATTGGAGATGGAGAGGGACACACGAATACTGATGCAGCATGCATGAAAATTAAATATACATGTACATAAACATATACATAAACATATACATGTATACATATACATATACATATACATATACATACACATACATACATACATACATACATACATACATACATATATATATATGTATGTATGTATGTATGCATGTATGTATGCATGTATGTATGCATGTATGTTTTATGTAGGTAGGTAGGTAGGTAGGTAGGTAGGTAGGTAGGCGTGAATGTATGAATATATGAATGTTTGAATGTATGAATGTATGAGTATATGCATGCATGCATGCATGCATGTATGCATGTATGCATGTATGCATGTATGTACGTACGTACGTACGTACGTATGTATGTATTTGCAATCATTCATTTGCGCATGTTATCGATGAGAAATCTATATAAGCAATAGTTGCAGCGTCTTACAGCAATAGTTGGGCCTACCTGTTGGCCGGGTGTTGCTACTGCAAGCATGATCAGGCTGAACCAAACAAGACATGCCAGTAACAAGGCAGGATCGCTCTATTGAATCTATTGGAGAGTCCAACGAAATCCAGCTTGAATGACAAAAGTCGTGCCTTCTTGGCTTTGTTTGCATCAAAAACAACTAGATTAATTAAATAATGTATCACTATAACATACTATAATTATATATAGTTCATATAAATGATAAACAGTGTGTTTGGGATAATCCCTTATTTTTTGACCATCTATGGTGATGTCTCACCATGACCCGAGCAGTTTCCCGCCTGATGCACATGGTGAAGGTCTTAGCACTCTCTTGGTCCGCTTCCTCAGCTGGATCCTACACAAATGTTTTTTGTTGTGCCACAGATATTCATCATATTGATGCATTCATGTGGCCATATGTGGCCATACTAAAATTTGGATAAGTTTAGTACATGCTCATTTTTGTTGGGGGTGTTGCTTCAAAAGAAACAGAGTCACAATTATATGAAATGGTTTGGCGTGCTGCAAGTGCTTGGCATAGACATCCAAATGCAAAAAAACACAGTGGTGAAGTGTGGATCTAAAGCAAGTCTGAATTCTAAGGTCATAAATCAGCCAGGAGGTAAACAACAATAGAAGTAGATAGGCAATCTGAGAATGTCCGCTCAGTGGTGGGACAGGAAAGGCTCCAAACCAAATTCAACTGGATCAATCCTCACAGGTAGGTCTGAATATGTGAATATGAAAAAAAAACTTTCAAACATTTTCAAACTCAAACCACTATTTGCGGGAAACATCTAAAATGAACTTCCATGGCAAAACAGTTACCACTAAGGAGAGTTGCTCTTAATAGTCATTAAATGCATGGAATAATTTTACAGGAATAGCCCATGAAGCGTCTGGAACTTGCAAGTGGAAACATCTGGAAAACTGCAAGTAAGTCAGAGCATATATAACCCATGAAACATCCAGAGTAGCTCCACTAAGTGAACTTCGATGGACTAACCAAGGCTCTTAAGCTATGATTCGTGGAATCCTCCAAGGCCAATAATTTGGCCGGGCGTCCAAGAAGCAAACCTTCCGGCAATCCACAGCTGTGAGGCTCTCACCCTCGCTGTTGTATACCTAAGGGACGCAAATGAACACCATGCAGGATGAAGCAAAGTAAACATTGGTAAACACACATATGTACACGTACATGTAAGTTGAAATAGTTGTATGTACACACACAACCAAAAGCTAGGAACCGTATGTTCACCAAAAACTGCTGATATGGGTCATGTATTTGGGGTTGACCAAGGGTCTCATGGTGGCACCTTTAACAACCAGGGCACCAGCACAACCAGCCGATCCCTCTCTGGCACGCTCAGGCGTGACCAAGCACCTGCAGGTTTAAGTTGAAGTGCGAGGCTTAAATAATTGCATGTATATAAAATGCAAAAGCAAACATATTTCTTATACATATGCAATAATATAACGTGTGTGTATATATAATATAATGCAAAATACTATGTATATACAGTATACAAATATATATATATATATATGTACAAATGTATATATGTATTCTGGGAAATCCCGGTGTCTACACATATTGAAGAATTTGTGTATCTATAAATGTATGTCTGTATATATATATAACTATATATATATATGATGGTATACATGTGATTGATTATATATGCATATTTTGTGACATTTGTACAGGTATGAAACCGGTATGCAAATGAACAGCAAGTAAAAATGAACAGATGCCATGTCTGGGTATGCCCTCACCATCTTATTTTGCAGACCCACCCGCCCAACCCAACACAAGTGAGATTCGTGTTCTTTCTTTAAGAAGCAACCAAAGAATCTAAGCATGCCTTCTGAAATAAGCTAAATAAATACATCTACCAACATATTCTATACCTATATTGAAAAATAGAACACAAATGTGAAAGATATACAAGTGCAATGAAATCTCACCAACTTCCACGATTTCACCCCTCAGGGGGGGAGCCGGTTTCTCCGAAGGGAACCTCGCCTGGCTCAATGTGGTGAATGGCTTCATTGGACACCACCACGTCCAAGATCTGGGCGGCTGAGCCACTCTCCCAGCTGATTGGATGTCTATCATGTATACAGTATGAGTAGCAGTAGGGGTAGCAGTAGGAGCAGCAGTAGGAGTAGTGGGGGTAGTGGGAGTAATGGGAGTCATGGCAATAGTGACAGTAGGGAGTAGCAGCAGCAGTAGCAATAATGGCATGTGGGCATGGTCTCGGCAAGTGCAAAAAGATTGCAACATTGGGTATCGGTTAGTATCGATTGGGGTATCGGTAACAATGGTGTATGAATTGCCGCAAACAAAATGCTTGGTGCTCTCTAAGAGGAAAACTAGCTGAGGTAGAGCTGTTCAAAGCCTTTGTTTGTAGCCGTTGCTGTAGAAATAAACACCCTATAACACCCTACTGCAGATTATTGTTGGAACTTGTTGGAATATAGGGGTATCGGTGCTGGGTCGTCCCCTATCGGTTGTGAAGGTTTCGTGAAGGCACGCAAAGTTCAAGGCAGCTCTAATTTTGTCGGGCACTCATATATATATATATAAATAAATCATAAATATAAACAGAGAGGTGGGTATTAACTTGGGCTCATATGACATATCACCGTAGAGCATGGTTCACCTATCGCCTGGCGGTCGAACTCCCACGCATATCCATCTGCCAATGGTTCAGCTCTACTAGGGCAGAAGCCTGGTGGAACCTGTCACTGGGTACATCTTAACCAGAAACAATGATTTTCCACGATTCTCCCATCAAACCTATATTGTTTCCTGCAACCCAAGATCGTCCCGAAACCAATGAAGCTGCTCCCAAGCTCATTCCATTGGAAACCCTGAGACGTTCGCCTGATCAATGTTGATACAATGGGAACGGCTGCTGAAGGCGATATGATCCTTCGTATCCTCACAGAAGTGGTGTTGAGACGGCTGACAAAATCAGCATTTGGGGGCTGACAAAATCAGCATTTGGGGGCTTCCATAAATGCGGGTACCATCGGGTACCCAATGGATTGTTTAATAAAATCCTATAATTAAAATGGATTTGGGGGGTACCCTGATTTAGGAAACCTCTATTTGGGAACCAGAAGGTCCGCCCTATCGGTTTGTTGCTTCGAGGAATTGGGTGGTATATACCCCCAGTTCCCACAGAAAGCAATGGCCAACCCCAGTCCAACTCAGGCGTCCAAAGTTGGTCCTCTGAGACAATGTTGATGATGCGCAAGCGATCGTCTATCTGATAGCTTCCTTCCAAAGCCGTGCCGCTGCACCTAAACTGAGTTGAGGCAAAAGGAAAAAACATAATAATACATTTAAACAAATGAAACAGAACAAGATGGGTTGGAAACACGAAGGGTATGATAGTCCACTTTGTTCATTCCTTTGGATGATTTGCGAGTTCCATTTGATAACGCTATGTGAATTTTGCGAGGTTTCTGAGGGCAATTTTGTAGGAAATCGCGATGACAGTACTGGCCCAGAGGATTGGTTGGTGGACTTCCGCAAGGCTCCCATCAAATCCAGAGCTTCCAACAAGAGGACATACCAGGCAAAAAAAAAATACTCTGGGACGTGAAAGTCAGTGCATATGTGGAACCAAGGTAAAAACACTGCGTGGGACGCCGTGCATTCAGTACAAAGCATCCAGAATCTTGAAAATCACAAGTGCAAATTACATATCATTTCGATTAGCATATGATTCAGCCAAAAAACATAAAATTGAAAAAAAACATCGTTGCAGTGCCAGTCAGATTGCCAATGGGTGTGTTTTTTTTGTTCAAACAAAATATTCCTGACTTGACACTTGGGTATTTGGTAAACGTTGCTTTTGTTTCGTCTTTGTTGGATCAACTCCCTCACTATGCCAGTGTAAGTACAGCCAATTGCAGATGATCTTTCGGATGGTCCACAGAGTCTCTAAGCTTCTAAGTGGGATCATCCGACGTTTTACTTGAAACCACATACCCCATGTGCAAACATGTGCAAACCAATTGCTTGGTACGAGCCAAGCAGTGCACGTCTAACATCTTGGGTTTTCTCAAGAGGACTCTGAATAGACGATAACATCTTGCCAGGATGTAGATGACAAAAATGGTGGATTCACCAATGGGAAAAAAAAACACATGCAGAAAATCCATGAAAATCCATGAAATTCCAGAGTTTCTTCAGGAAATGATCTCTCCAAGTGATTGGTGTTTTCCTCAATGCTCCTGTTATGGGCAAAATTATAAGGTACAATTCAAACGTATCCATTAACTAACGATAGATAACTATGTCCCCATTGTTGTTGGTGCAAAGAATCTATATTGTTTACATTGTTCACTGGTTAAGTCCCTATCTTTCATGATTAACCTCCATACAAACCCAATATAAATACACAAAGCCGAGATTAATCCCACACAGAAATCGGATACACATTCAATAAAAATCTCAAGCCCCATTTAAATACCATATAAATAATACAAATGCGATGAAATTAAATCCCAAACAACCTATAAATCCTATAAAACTCCTATAACAAATCGATAATCAATGGAATTATCCAAGTCCACCGGCGTCATTGATGATATGGCCAAGTCGCTCATCGAAGAGTTGCACGTTCACGCCCTGCATGTCGCGCGAAGCGAAGAGCTTCATCATCCTCGGTGTATTGTTTCGCGCGGAATCAACGGATCTGAAGAATAAAACATTGTTTTCACTGGACATTGTTACAATGTGAGGCCCCCAAGACAGCTAAGTTGGTGCAAATAACTCCAATAACTATGGTTTATGGTATTTATAGCTATAGCTACTGGGGCTTCGAAACCAACTTATAATTGGGGAGCCTCACATTGTTTATTGTTGATAAATTAAAACATATGGAAAACACCAAACAGAAAGAAAAACACATTTAATGTATTGTGGGATTTTGCTCTTCTATGTTTTGGGTTGGCTATATATATATATACAAACACCAACAATCAACTAATCAATGGTTTTCCGGGGCGAAAATAATCAGTGGAATTGTATGAGGTAAATTGTTAAATAAGCTACGAGTGCACTTGGGGATACCATCAACGGATTGATCAACAAACAGTATGGCACAGGGGACGATTCTCCAGAGGTTGGCTTCAACATGTCCACAAAATGGGTTAATTTCAACACTTGTGATAAATGTTAATGAGTCAAATATAGCCTAGCCAAATGGAATGATGGAATCATGATCTCGAGTGGTTTAGAGAATATGAAGCATCTGAAACTAACAGCGTGGTTTTTACACACAATTCTAGGATTCCTTGCTTACAAAGCTCAAGCCCATTTGATTCGGGCTGACAGTGGTTCATTGGTTTTATCAACATTTAAGTCCGTGGACCGGAACTTTTTTTTTGGAGAGCGGGTAGTCGTGGGTGTGAAAGTCCTGATTTTGTTATATTAGTCATTAAATTCATAATTATATCAGTCATTACATTGATCATTATATTAATCAAAATATTAGTCATTATATGATCATTAAATGAATCATTGAATTAGTCATTATGTTAATCATTAAATGAACCATGATATTAAACATTAAATGAATCATTATGTTAATCATCAAGTTAGTCATTATATTCATAATTAAATCAATCATTGCATTAATCATTATATTAGTCATTATATAAGTCATTGAATGAAGCATTATATTTATCATTTTATGAATCATTACATTAATCATTATATTAATCAATAAATGAATCATCATATATAATCATTAGATTAGCCATTAAATAAATCATTTTATTAGTCATTTCATTAATCATTAAATTAGTCTTAAAATTAATCATTATATTAATCATTATATTAGTCAATAAACTAATAATTATACCACCCATTACATAAATCATTATATTAATCATTATCAGTCATTATAAAAGTCATTAAATGAATCATGAAATTAATCATTATATATATATATCAGTATATGAATCATTATATTGATCATTAAATTAGTCATTATATTAGTCATTGTATTCGCAGTTATATTAATCATTACATAAATCATTAGACAAATCATGATAATAATCACGATATTAATCATTATATTAATCATTATAATAATCATGAAATTAATCATTATATGCATCATTATGTTAATCATGATAATAATCATTATATTAATTATGTTATTAATCATTAAATTAATCATGATATGAATCATATTAGCCATGAATTTAATCAGTAAATTAATCATTATATTAATCGTTATACTAATCGTTATAATGTTCATTATATAAGTCATTATATTAGTCATTATATGAATCATTATGCCCAACATTATTTTAATCATGTTATTAATCAAAAAATACACATATAATCATTATATTAGTCATTGTATCAGCCATTTTATTTATCATTATATTAAGCATTATATTAATCATTAAATTAATCATTATATTAGTCATTTTATTAATCATTACATTACTCATTATATATAAAATCATTATATTAGTCATTATGTTATTCATGATATTAATCATTGTAATAATCATAATATCAATCATTATATTACCCGTTAATGAAATATAATCATGATATTAGTCATTACATAGGTCATTAAATTAATCAAAATGATAATCATCATAATCATCATTATATTAGTCCTTTTTTAAATCATTATTTTAATTACTATATTCAACATTATATTAATCATTGAATTAATCATTAAATTAATCGTGATATTAATCATTACATTAATCATGCTATTAATCTTTATATTAATCATTAAATGAAACATTACATTACTCATTATATACATATATAATCATTATATTAGTCATTATAAAAATCATGAAATTAATCATTGTATTAATCATGATATTAATCAGTATTTTAATCATGTTTTAAATCATTGTATTCGTCATTATATTAATCATGATATTAGTCATTAAATTCATAATTATATCAGTCATTACATTAATCATTATAGTGGTCATTATATTAGTCATTATATGAGCCATGATATTAATTATTTTATTAGGCATTAAATAAATAATCATTATATTAGTCATTATATAAATCATTAAAAGAATCATTAAAATTGATCATTATTTATCATTCTATGACGCATGATATTAATCATTATGTTAGCCACTAAACTAATAATTAAATCAGCCATTTCATAAATCATAATATTAATCGTTAAATAATCATTACAAAAAGTCATTAAATGAATCATGAAATGAATCAATATATTTTTCATTATATGAATCATTATTTTAATCATTATATTAGTCATTGTATTAGTCATTATATTAATCATTACATTATTCATTAGATGAATCATGATAATAATCATGATATTAACCATTGTATTAATCATTAAAATAATCGTTAAATTAATCATTATATTAATCATTATATTAATCATGATATTAATCATTCTTTTAATCATTTTTTAAAATTATTATATTAGTCATTATACTCATGAATAAAAAAATACATTAATCATTGTATTAATCATTATATTAGGCATTATATAATTCATTAAATTAATTTTGGTTTTTCCATGTGTTTTTGCAGTTTGGCCTGGGGGGCGCAGGTGTGCAAATTGTAGAAACGCACGTTTTTTGAGAGGTACTGTGATGAAAGCATCTTCACATGAAAAACATGCAAAAAAAACATGGAAAAACAAAAAAAACAAAAAGTTCAGACCCATGGACAGGGTCTGGGGAGAGGCCTGGCAGGGGACATGGGTCTGAACTTTTTTTTTTTGGTTTTTCCATGGTTTTTTGCAGTTTGGCCAAAACCTCGAGAAAACCAAAAAAACACACAAAAAAAAGTTCAGACCCATGGGCAAGGTCTGGGGAGAGGCATGGCAGGGGACATGGGTCTGAACTTTTTGTTTTTTTGGTGTTTCCATGGTTTTTTGCAGTTTGGCCAAAACCTCGAGAAAACCAAAAAAGCACCAAAAAAAAAGTTCAGACCCATGGGCAAGGTCTGGGGAGTGGCCTGGCAGGGGACATGGGTCTGAACTTTTTGTTTTTCTTGTTTTTCCATTGGTTTTTAGCATGTTTTTCATGTGAAGATGCTTTCATCACAGTACCTCTCAAAAAATGCGCGTTTCTACAATTTGCACACCTGCGCCCCCCATGAGTACCCCTTCTGTTTTTTTTTTGGCGGGGGTGGTATCCAAATTGTTGCTAGGTTAAATTCAGGTCAATTCCTGATCACAAGTCGAACAAGTCAGTGACAGCCCAATCATTGATTAAAGGAAATGTTTTCTTCATTATTAATAACCAAAATGTATAGCACTACCCTCTAGTAAACAAACCTCCCAACGGCACATCCCGTATTCAAAAGAATCATGATTCATCATCAAGAAATGGGGGCATCTCTCATTACCAAGAATCCCCCAACAAAAACAACAAATACTTTTCATCTAATTATTCAGCCATCTCGACAAAAAGAAATGTTCACCAACCTGACTTGAAATGTGGCGTGTTTTTTATTCGCCCCAAGTACCAGCCGTCATATGCGACGTGGTGATGAGGTCGTTTGAAAAATGACGAACCTAATCCCCCAACTAAACCACCAGTTAGATGGGTTAGATCTGTTATATAAATCGTCCTCAATGGATGGCAATGAATGATCATGATGATTTAATCAAACCATTAGCCAAATTTGTTCGCATATGTTTCTAGCGAATGGTGTTATAAAATTGAAATTAGCAAGGTTCCTTCCGCTGCTTACCACAATCATAATTGGGTTGTTCTTGAAATTGGGGTGCCGCAAAAATTCTTTGATTTCTTTTCTAGAAATGACCAATGTTTGCATGAATCTGAAGTCGCCCATTTTAAGAAAAAACAGAAATTTGTCCCAAGCAACTAGATTTACTTCACTGCATACCGCAGTACCCAAATATCCTCATTTTGTTTCTCAAATCAATCCTGTGAATTACCCCAAATACAGTACCATTCTCATGCAATTTTCCATAAAATGTTCCTCCAAAGTTCATTCTCCCCATCGTCCACCATTTTTTCCTGGTGAAACTCCGTACCAAACTTCGACCACTTCCCAGCCCTTCGTCCCTTCGTCCTTCACCAAAGGTCTCTTTCAACTCTTGGCGCCTCCAGCTACTCACCGTGCTTGTTGCCGCCCCGCGCTCCAGCCGTTCATCTGTGGCCCAGGTGCCTCAGGACGTGTACGGCCAGGGGGCCAAGGGCCAGGGGTTATTTAGCGATATATGTCATATACCTATGGTTGGGATATCCTCCAATGTTATAACCTCCAATGTGTATATATATATATAATAATATATAATTTATCATTTAATGAATTACCATGAATTACCATGAGATTTTAAAATTTTAGACCTGCGTAAGTTGGGATATGTGGCCTGTACAGCTAAGCGTGTATAACCCCCCTAATTATTGGTAGAACTGCCTAAGCAAAGCTGGGGCCCGGAGAATTCCCCAGGGAGGTGGGTGATTTTATTTTGATTACACAAGATCTTAGATATCAGGGAAGTATTTGGTATAGGAAATGAAGAACTATGCGATATCTACATTGGACTTTATATAACTAAGGCCTGCAACAATCATCAAGGTTGGAAATGTCATGGAAAACAATAGAACAGGAGAGAGAAAAAGAGAGATATAAATAAATAAATATATATATATATAATTATGTGTATATATATATACACACACTACAGTAATATCATATCCACATATATTCAAATAACGTTTGCAGCGGAGTTTGCGAATTTTCATGGTCAAGGTGGAGCATTGGCATCAGAGTTGGTGTATCTCATAGGAAAACAGCTAGGAAGATGGCAGCAGAGTTGGTGAGATCCTACTTTTTTTTTCACTCCGTCAAAGTAGGCACGGGGAGCCAGATTCAGCTGCACCATTTGCAACTTGGGGGGAGGCCACAAGTAAAGATTTCCTACTTGCTCCCAAAACATGACTATGAAGTACAAATGGACCGCTCTTGTGCAAACACACATTAACTCAGATAGCTAACGCTACCTTTCGTGATTGGTTGAAGATAAGCCTGGCAGCTTTACATGGACCATGTTTGTTGTACCAGCAATTTGCATCAATTTGCTGGGTGTCTGAAATAAAGCGTCCCAAAAACCGAAGTCCATCATGGCGCTAAACCAAAAACGACTCTCGCTTTCTGCCCAGCTCAAGTTCTCCGCAGCTCGATGGAGCTTTGGTGCCTTTCACTGGACGTTGGGACCGTTGGGAAGAAGAAACTTTGTGCCACTTCATCCCGGTAGACATAGCCCACGGCGGCCACCAGAAAGATCAGCATCAAGAACACAATGAACCAAATCACCACCATGGGAAAAGATTCGCCCTCAGCTGGTACTCCTGTGTTGTTCATAGGAACCATCACGGAAAACACCGTTGGGCCCCTTTTCTGGGGAAACGTCACTTGCAGCGTCACATTAACATTTTCTGCATCTAGGGGAAGTGCATCAGGGTTCACTTCCAGCTTCAAGTCCACCGCAAAGGTCCCATTGGGTCCAATGGAAGAGCTGTAGAAAGTTTCATCAAGCTTCACCAACCCCTCAGAAGGCTGATGAAATCGCCAATCACTGGTAGTTTCCAATACTCTTACCTTCAAGAAATCTTTGTCCACCTGAAAAATTTCCCCCTGCTGCGTCTCCAGATCCAGCTTGGGAGGTTCAAGGAACCCCAAGGTGGGGCTTTTGAGGCGGAGAAAATGGGTATAATTGATGGATTCCCACAACTCCATCGTCCACCCATAGGTCTTCTCCACGGCTGCGGCACAAGATGGAAGCATGCTCACGGGGGAAGAGAGGCAAAAGTCGATGAATTTCTGGAATTTCTCGGACTCAATCAGGCCATCCGAAATTAAACGGAAGCTTGCAGACCAAGGATGCGTGCGTGAGTTTGGACTCTTCCAATGGCGAAAGGGGTCAAAGGGCAGGAGCACACACTGGAGGTCCATCACATCATCCTTCTCTAAGGTCACAATATGATCAGAAATCAAAGGCAGCCAAGGAGTTGTTGGGATCGGCAAATGGCCTGCCAGGGATTTGGATTAAGTGGATGTAACATGCTCATGCACTGTCCCTCGATCATCTTGATGACTGGGTTGACTTCTAGGAATGTTTGCGTTTCAGACATACTAGCAAAAGGTTTAAGTCGCATCAGTTTGGCAGAAAGTCACATCAACCCCATGGCACAGCGAGTTGGAAGAATCAATTAAGCAAAAATCACATTAAAACAACAAAATCCCCATGGCACACCGGCTTTCAGGGAACGGTTCTATTTGTCAAAAAAGAGGCAAACATTGCGCACGCTGAGGCATCAACATATTTTCGTGTTTTCATAGGACATATGAAGGAATCACCATGGCACAGGGCATCCAAGGACTTTCATCTTTTGTCCGGAACAAACACAAATCCCCAAGTCTTAGTGACGGGCACCATCATCATGCCAACAGTTTGAAATCACGACTCCCATCGGCACACCGTTTTCCATATCCCCTTAAGGTTGAATGTTGTCGATGTAGAACGTCCTTTTCCTCCTCTTTTCTCTCTGTAGCTTTGCGTCTTTGTGTGAGAGTCAAAAGGTGCGCCTAATGGTAAACAAACATGCGTTCCTGCATGGGACTCTATAGGATTCTATAGGCACGGCTAATCTAGGTGTGCCCGCCCATGCCTCTCCTGGTGGAACTCCGCTTTCCAACATTATGTTTTTTGGCCTCAAAACATTATGCACAAAACCCTTCTTTCGCCCACACGCAACTTTGTAGGGATTCTAAGGACATTGATTCAAGCGAGTCTTTAAAATGTTTCAAAAGAGTTTCTAGGGAACCATAAAACCCCCAACCCGGTTAAACTTTATATTCAAGGGAATCTTAAATATGTTTCAACCGAGTTTCTAGGGAATCATCAAATCTGCACCCCCGTTAAATTTCATTTTTAAGAAGTTTAGGGTCTAGGGTTTTAGGGTTTTAGGGCTTAGGGTTGACGTTGTTGATGTCGTTGATGTCGTTGTTGTTGTTGTTGTTGTTATTGTTGTTGTTGTTGCTGCTGTTGATGATGTTGTTGTTGTTGTTGTTGCTGTTATTGTTATTGTTATTGTTATTGATGATGATGATGATGATGATGGTGGTGGTGGTGATGATGATGATGGAGATGACGATGGTGATGATGATGATGATGATGGCGATGATGATGATGATGGTGATGGTGATGGTGATGATGATGATGATGATGATGATGATGATGATGATGATGATGATGTTGATGTAACATTCAACGTACAGGTAGCTAAGCTGTGCGTTGCAAGATGAAAGCCATGATCCTGGACATGTGCATTTTGTCCCCCAAAGCACAGACAGTGGTTTTTGATGTTCGGACACGTGGTGGACAGCGGCGCGGGCAAGAGAGGGGGTTCCGAAACATTACTCTACCATCACTGGGTGAGTAAGCGCCAAACATGGCGACCAAGATTCCTTTTTTCAAGGGCAGTTCCTGCAAATGCTCCCGGTCAAAACCGCAAATTGCAGCTGCAAAAAAAAACGTCCTTTTTGCCCACAGCCGTTTCCCCATGGCCTGAGCTGTTTCCATTCTTCTTGTAGTACTTCTTATAGGCCAGTCGGCCACAGGCTTTGCCACGACTATACAGCGTCAGATTTTGGAAGTTTCCCTTCGCCCCTCTGCAGTCAATGCGAAAGGTGAACTGCGGGAGCGGCTGAAAGTTGGGGCTGGGCTCGGCACTGCATTCCAACCTGGCAGGGCAAGGCATCATTAGAGCTATTGAAACTGGCCCAGTAACGATTATACATGATGATTTTCCATGGCTATTTTGGTTTATCATGGAGTAGGTTGCCATGAAAATTAGAGATGCAGAATGTACCCAGAAAAAAAAGGTTTGGATGGTGTGCCAACCTCAAATGTTCAGAAAATTAAAGCTACCTTTTAAGCCTTATAGATATCTTCGTCCTCCCACCTGACTTTGGTGCCCGTGAACTTGCAACCGCTCCTCTCGAAGCATTTCGAATTAACGCATATTCTGCCCTCGGGAGAATCCATCAGCTCAATCGAGCGCACATGAACCCCCACGTCCGCCTCCGCGAAACCCACGGTGAGGTGCAGCGCGTGCAGCGCGTGCAGCGCATGCAGCGCGTGCAGCGCGTGCAGCGCCAACGGGCCGCTAGTAGTCCACATGGCAATTTGGCCAAACTCATCGGGGAACCCAAATGGTTTGAATAGATTTGAATTTGTTGAAAAAAATGACATTGATTGAAGGGATTTCAATTTATTCAAAACGGGGTGAAGCAGTTATGAGATCAAATGATTTGAGCTGGTGGTAGAGTGGTTTACTCACGGAACGAAAACCACTATCGTTTACTAAGTGCTGGGTGTGGGTGAACATCAACAACTGAATCGCATCACTTCTGGGCTGAATGCCTGAATTTCCATATCATGATCGCACCATGAGAAAAACATGTTCACTCGTCAATGTGATTTGTTTAACCCAAAGAAAGTGGCCATTAGTCTTTCCAAAATTGGGTGCCCAATTGAAGTCTCATTACCATATGTTTCTCATCGATTGGTGTTTATCATATTTTCCTACAAGTGGAAATATAACAATGGAATTGCCATGGTTTTCCAGTGATTACCATGGCAATCACAATTGCCTTTCGGAATGTTATCAATGAGTATCAATGATTATCAAGAGTATCGATGATTATCAATAATTATGGCCATATGATGGCAATTACCATCATTTACCATTGATACAACTACAATTGTTTCTCATCATTTCTCCATTGGATTTGCCAGCCAGGCCAATCCCCGAGATCCAGGATCATTAGTACATGCAAAGACACGCTCCTGAACACACCTCTACACACACACACACAGACAGACAGAGCTATATATATATATAACAATATATATATAATATAATATATATATATAATATAATATATATATATAATATAATATATATATATGTAATATAATATATATATATACATATATATAATATAATATATATATAATATAATATATATATAGTCATCCTGAAGTAGATAGAATATCGGAAATTTTCAAAAAGGATTTGTCAAAAAATAAAAATAATAGTTGGAATATTTTCAAAACCCTCAGTTTTTACACGTTTTTCGTCTTTGTTAAGTCATTTTTAGCCAGTTTTGGACACGGGTCTGGGGAAATTTTGAAAAATACAAAAATCAAACAACACCAAAAAATAGATAGAATATTGTTTCAAACCAGGTAGATAGAATATTTTGAGGGAATTGTGAACACCACTTCAGATATCCAGGATTGCTGCTACCCAAAAGGAATTACGTATTTAATAATTATACATGAAGGGGACCCTATTCCTTGCAAAACTACATACATAGAATATAGGTCCCCAGTGAAAATATCCATCATTTTTTTACGGACTGCCACCTAATTCCATTGGTTTTCATTGCATTTTTTTAAAATGTTTTACGACGCCGGTCGTGGGGGGTACCCTTCGGTGAGCTTGAAAAAATAATTTCTTTAATGCAATATAAAAAGAAATTGATCATTTCGGGGGACCTGTTTTCTTGTTGAAACGTTCCAGTTTAGGAACTTCAGATATCCAAAGTTGCTACTCCCCAAAGGGAATTACGTATATCATATACACCCTTATGTATGAACGACACCAAATTCCTTTCAGAACTACATACATAGAATATAGGTCCCCGGTGAACATATTCATTAATTTTATTGGCTTTCATTGTAAAAATATGTTTTTTGTCATAGTTCCCCGACACCGGTCGTGGGGGATACCCTTCGGTGAGCTTGAAAAACTCATTTTTTAAAAACAATATGAAAAGAAATTGATCATTTCGGAGGACCTGTTTCTTGTTGAAACGTTCTAGTTTAGGAACTTCAGACATCCAGGGGTGCTACTCCCCAAAGGGAAT